ATATAGTCCATGTAGAAAATTTACTGTCCCTGTTTTATGGCCAAAACAGAGATTTATCTAAGTCTTCCATTCTTTTTATAAAAATCACAGGATTGGGGGAATGGAAGGGGTCTCATTTGCCTTTCTTCCCTAAACCCGACATAAGGGATGTCACTTCCTAAGTCGCTGCCACATCCTGCCTGCTGGGTTGACCCAGTCTATTGTATTCACTCACTCATTCCTCAACTATTCTTCGAACCCCTACTGTGTACCAGGTACTGTTCCACTTAACAAAACAGATAAAGTCCTGCTTTGAGGGAGCAGATATTCAAATAAAGGAAGAGACATTAAACAAAGAAGGAAAACCTACAGTATGTCAGGGGACATTGAGTACCAGGGAGAAGTGGATCAACACATCAGGAGGGAGAGTGGTGGGGGGTTGGGAATGGGTGCTGTTTAGACAGAGTGCTCAGAAAAGGCCTCTCTGAGGAACTGAAGTCGGGCAGAAATCTAAAGGAAGCAGGGAACAGACAGCAGAGAAAATCAGAAGAACAGTGCCCCAGGCACAGGTAACAGCATGGGCAAAAGCCTTGAGTTCGAGTTTGCTCAGTGTGTTCATGGAGCAGTAGGATCAGTATGCCTGGAACAGAGCAGGTGAAGGGAAGGGAAGGTGGTAGGACATGGATCAGAGAGTGGCCGGGAACCATAGCTTATGAACAGGTCCCAGCCTAGAGCTCGGGCAGAGTTCCCAACCAAAGGCAGACCGGCTCAGTCAACAACCTAGTGCTGAGTACCCCTTCCCCTGGCTGCCCAGCCAGGTCCCTGCTGAGCTGAAGGGAAGAGCACAAAGTGGTAATGGTTGGGAAATGTGGTGAGGCTTATAATTTCCTTCCTTCCTTCCTTCCCTTCCTTCCCTTCCTTCCCTTCCTTCCTTCCTTCCTTCCTTCCTTCCTTCCTTCCTCCCTTCCTCCCTTCCTCCCTTCCTCCCCAGAAGTAATATTTGCACAATCTAGAGAATTTAAAAAATGCAGAAAAGAATAATGATGCACAGGCATAAAAGTAAAGATATCAGGTAGCTGGGACTAGAATTGTTTTCTATTTTTCAGCCTTTGTATAAGGCTGTTATATTTATAATACATATATCTTTAAAAAGAAATTCAACTGAAAGTTAATTTTTCAAAATAAAATAGAATTGCACCATATGATCCTTTAACTCATGCATAGACTTTGGCACCCAGCCTCCACGAGATGAGGTGCCTCTGGTTCTTTAAAAAGCACAAACTTTCAAGTCAAGGGAAACTATACTGACATTTTGGTTTTGCCAATGACTGCTGTGGGACCTCAGGAAGGCTATTTACTTTCTCTGAGCCTCAGTTTCCTCACAGTAAAACAGGCCTCACATCCACAGGATCGCTGCGAAGATCAGAGATGATGTGTATCAAACACCTGGCACGTGGGAGATACTAAACCATTGGTAGCTAGTCACAGCTGTTAACAAATAAGCAAATTTGTTCCATCAACAAGTATTTGCTCAGCCTCTGCCCTGTTGCTGGCAAAAGTAGTAAACAAGATAGAAAATAACTGACTTAGAATATTACCTCCTGTTCTCAAACTCCAATTGTCCAAAAAGACAGCAAATCAATCTAGAAACTAGAAGCCAAGCTGTTATCTGAATGACAATTACACTCCGAATGAGGGTGAGGTGGCGGAAGACTGGGCAGAATGCAGGTTGCTAGGATGCAGGGCCACCATGGCAGCCACTTTGCAGGGAACTGCAGGGCTGCCCAAGTAGACGTCTTCTCCCGTTGCTGCTGCCTTCTCTGCTGCACCGGGACAGCTCAGGAAGCCCCTGTCTCTGTGAAACCCCAGAGAATGTCATCTGCTGTTACGGACAGCAGCCTGACTCAAAATGCACCCCGAAGACTAGGCCGTCCTCAGCCCTCAGGTTCACCCGATGCTCTTGTTCCTGTGCTGGCGCCTGCCACGTGGCTCAGATGAAAACAGTTCTGCTACATCAGACAGCAGATTCTGTTCCTGAGATGCAGGGATGAAAGGACTCGTAATTTTTAATAAAAGCATGAAGATTCACATTGTCCTCTCTGGCAGTGCCAACTCCAAGCACAAAAGTGATGACGGCCTAAACAAAAGAGGAGTCCCTCCTCTTGGGGAAATTAACCCTTTCTGTAGAGACCAAGGACCATTCCAGACAGCCAGCGTGGGCTGGACTGCTACATCAAGGCAGCCAGCACGTGAGCCCCTCTGAGGACAGGTGGCTGACACCGGCTTGGGAGCACTTGTCATCACAGCACCCCTGCAAGGCAGGGACCACCCACCCATTCAGAAGGGGGAACCAAGGCCAAGTCAGAATAATGGCTTGCCTAGCTGGCAACGGGTAAGTTGAGGACCTGTATTTTGAGGTTGTTTTTACAATTTCCTCAGCCCGGTTTTACTCATTGTTAGAAAACAATGAATGAAAGCTTCCAGAAATGTAATCAGCTAAGATGCCTAGCAATGGAGTTCTGTCCTTCGCAGACCTGCCATTTAGCTGAGTTAGTTTACAGGGAGGGCCATTTTGCTGAGGCCTGTCTCCCTCCACCCCTTCCCTCTCGGTCTCAGGAACGGAAGGTGTTCACAGAGTACGATGGCTTCAAACCACAGGGTCATTCCCCAGACAGGGGTCAGCGATTTTGGTTCCAAGTTACTAGGAAAGTGCTTTTCAATGTAAATCTGATCTCTCAACACCGTATCTTGGCAGCCCTCCCTCCACATAATGTCCCAACGGGGATAAACTGCCCCCGACATGGATTCTAGCATACAAACCTTTCCTACGCGTGCTCCCTCCATCAGTCAGGACTTGTGTCCTCCCTGCCCCAGGGGACAGGTTTCCTGTGAGCGACCCGCCAGCCCAGCCGGGACGTCTGGGTGCAGAGCTACGGGGCTCCCTTCCCCCCCAGCCACCGTCCGCCCCAACCCCGCAGAGTTCCCAACCCCGCAGAGTTCCCGGTGTTTCCTCCGGGCTTGCGGGAGGAGATCCCAAGCGGGACCATTGTGTTGGAGATGCATCAGAAACCAGGCGAACTCTCCAGATTGAGGATTTTAAGAGACCCAGTAGAAAGGCAGAAAGAGCTAGCGGAGCGGGGTAGTCTCTGGCTCCTGCGGTGGCCCGGAGGTGGGGGAAGGCCCCCACCCCCAGCCTCCGTTTCCCCTTCTGTAAGACTGGGCGGCGGGAGGGGGCCCAGGTGAGCACTAAGGCGAGACAGCGCGGGCTTCCCTCAGGCGCGACAACGAGATGCGTCGCAGCCCTCGAGCCAACCTGGGAAGACGCAATTCTCGCGGAGCGCCCGGCCCAGGGCGCGTCCGCCCGCTGCCCCCGCCCGCCCGCACGCACCTGCCGGCCCCGCGATCCTCCCTCCGCGCGGCCGCCCCCGCCCCCGCCTCGGTCCCACCCACGCGCCCCTGGCCCTCCCCACCTGGCGTGGGACTCCGCCCCCCCCGCTCCCGCCCCCCGCCTCGGTCCCACCCACGCGCCTCGCCCCGCAGCCCCCGGCCCGCCCCGCCCTCGTGTGGGACTCCGCCCCCCACCCGAGTCCCCGCGCCCCGCGAGCGGAGGGCGGGCCGGGGCGGGGCGGGGCGCGCGGGAGGCGGAGCCACGCGGGGAATCCTGCTCGGGGCAGCGCCCGGCCCCGCAGAGCAGCGCGGCCGTCCGAGGCTCCGGCGCCGGGGGCGGCGGGGAAGCCCAGGCGGAGGGGCGGGCGGAGGGCGGGCCGGGGCGGGGCGGGGCGCGCTTGGCTCCGGGAGGCGGTGCGGGCGGGCGGTGACCGCGTCCGCCCGCCGGGAGCCGCGGGGCGCGCAGCCTTCCTGATGTGTCACCAGCACGTGGAGCCAGGTCGGGCCGCGCTAGCGAGCGGAACCCCCCAACTTTCGAGGGGTCTCGCCTCCTCGCTCCTCTCCCCGCTGCGCCGGGCTCGCTCTCCTTGGGGAAGGGGCGGCGGTGGTCCCCGGGTCCCGGGCAGGTCGAGCGACGCCACGGCCCCCGGCCAGGCGCGCCCGGGGCGCCCGGAACGTCGGGGCGCGGGCCCGGGCTCGCGGCTGCGCTCCCGGGGCCCCGGCCCGGC